GGCGCTTACGCGCTTCGATATTTTGTCTCTATATAATTAAAGCAGTACGATTGCTTGGAAAAAAAAGTTCAGAATTTCCAAAATATTCAAAATACACTTTTCTTCAAAAAGTCTTTTTTTTTCAAAAAAGTAAATTTTTGTTAAAAATTTATAGTTTCCCAAAAATCTAATTTTTCAGAGTAATTTTTTTTCCAAAAATGTTAATCTTTTAAAAAAAAAATTTGGTACGGGAAGTTCCAGCGATTTGCCCCACTAGTTTCTGTCTCTTTTTACCTTAAATGAGTTATAATTAAATCTTCTGAGTTTTTTTTGCAGTATAAGCATTAATTTGCAAACATATTCAAATGCAAACATGTTTGCAGATTAGGCAGGGGCAATGGGGAGTAAATATGTTTGCAAATTACTGCTGTATTCTACAAAAAAAATCAATAGGACATTGAATGATACGGCCTTGAAGGGAATATTCAAAAGTTATTTAATGTGAAAAGAGTCAGGAATACAACTATTATTTGTAGTCCTGAGTAATAATTTGAAAATTTATATTTGCAAAAAATAACTAAGAATTATTTCACTTATTTACTTACGTTGCTAACAAAAATTTCGTTCTTAGTTTTGAAGAAGCTGCTAACAATTCATTCTTTGATTTCATGCAATTTCCAGGTTTATTATTTGAACTCAATTGCTTACTACGAGCATTAGTCACAAAGTCAGCATAAGAGAAATCAGTGTCCGACGTGGGGCAATATCACGATCGCATTTTTTATTACTTTCGACTGCACTGGAAACACTCTAAAAAATATAATAACTTAATGAGTAATTATATTTATATGATTTATCTATTTACAGAAAATAATTTTAGTAAAAATAACGTTTACGTTTTTATTTTCTGGCGCGAATGCACACCATTTGTTGTTAAGACTTTTGGCAGAAGACTAAAAATAAATGAGTAGTTATAGATAAAAATAAATGGGTAGGGCGAGGCACAAAAGTCCAATTTGACTTTGAGCAATTATATTGTAAAAACCAAAACAATTATATCACAACAAATAACACATATCAAACAAACAACGATCTGACTATGTTCAGTAAAACTTCCAGCCAATTCATAATTGTAACCGCAGCTTTTTTTGCTGTTTTTCAAAAAATTGCTTCTGTCTTTTTTATTCTATAGGCTGGTTAAAAAAACGGTCAGAAGGCACCAAGTCCAATTTATAATTTTTTCACGAAATAATAGCTACATTATTCAACTAACGCATAATATACATTTCATCGGTTCATTTTTAGAGATAACACAAAATATCATCAGCAAAGTTGAAATAGATATTTATTTATTTTATCTCTTGTAAAATTGCTTTTTTATCCTAATTTACTACTTCTTATTGTTTACTTCATACCATTGCCAGGGTAAAAGTTCAGTTGATCCTTGAAAAAATGTTGAATCTAACTTAAAATTACCAATACATCTTATAAAACAATGAAAAAACGTATACTTAAAAATTATATTAAAGTCGCGTTAACTAAACAACTGAAGAAAATACTTTTGCTATGGATTTCAAACATTATCGTTTATATCCCGATAGCAACATCGTAAAAATCAATATGATGGCTGGTTATACAACTTTTTCCTTCTACTTTCAAATATTGTTAAAAAATTATTTACTTTACTTGTTTTTATGATCTAAGTTCTAGAATAAAAGCATTTAAAACCGTATACTTAAAAATTATATTCAGGTATGGTAATCTAAATAAAAGATCTCAAAGCCATAAACAACTACCAACGAAAAAAATACTTTTGTTGTGAAAATAAATACCTTTCTGTTTATTTCCTAATAGCGACAGAATTAAAGAGAAGGCTGGTTATCTTTGGCCTTGTACTTTAAATTCGTGTCGTTTGAAAATTATATACTTGGAAAAAAATGTAACAAGGAATTTACAATGAAACATGCATGATAGTGGATCTTTTTATCTACCGACCTTTAAGCCTCGATCTACTCCACCAGTTTACAAAGCCAATAATAATAAAAGTATATAAATGTAAAAATTTTTTTTTGCTTGTTATTGATGGTTCCTAAAAAGGGAAGCAACTCTTATCCCCAAAATATTGAATTAGAAAAATAATTAAATAAGAAAAAAAATTGAAAAGGGGTGAGTTTTAGCTAAGTAGTTTAAATATTTGGTTTTGGTAATAGCAGTTTTAGAACAGTTTTGATGTTACTTACATGTTCTAACGCCTCTGGTGCCTGATTACCAGTTTTTGGTGTGTCATATTCGTATTCGATGACTGTTGTCTCAACACTAACACTGCTAGATAATCTGCAAGTGTTTTTGATGATAGATTTTTTTCTTTTATGGGAGCTTGAATTTTTAGAAACTGTCTCGCGCTCTTCTTCATCAGGAATTTCGAAGTTGTTCTCGTTGTAGGATACAGATCTTTTACGTTTTTTAGTTCGTTCTGATTTTCTAGTATCTGTTCTAGCTCTTGGATGTGAGTCAGAGTCGCTCGAAGTAGAGTCAGATTCATCGTTGTTTGAATCTGATTCAAAGTTCTCAGTTTCTGGTGCTTGGTTCGGTTTAACATTTCCTGCAATTGTAACGTCTACGATAACTTTGCTTCTTCCCACCCTATACTTCTTGCGATCATGTCTTACTACAAATTTCTCTTTTTTTGAAGAAGTGTTTGGCTCTTTGCTTGAAGTTAAACATTTAGAAGTTGTTTTATTTTCCTGCTTCTGATCAGCCTCTGATTTAGTTTGGAAATTTTCGAAAAAAACATTGATCTTATTCGCGAAGTCCTTGTTTCGCTCGTCACTCATATAGTCCCATATTCGACGGGCTACTGCAACTTTCTCGGCTATTGTTTGCTCCATTTTCTCCTTAGCGGACCCTTTTAACTTTTCATTTACAGATTGATTCATTTCCTCGTGATCTGAAGCTTTAATTTTCTCATCTTCTGACTGTGATGACTTTGAATCAGATGAATTTGGAAGAGAACGTTTTGGTTCTCTTGCGTGATCATCATCGTTGGATCCGTCAGAACTTACTGGTCTATTAGTATGATCATCCTTTTTAGTGCCACTCATTTTGCTTCTTTCGATAAAACTTATTTGAATATGTAAAAGAGAATGTTATGTGTTACAAAATATTGATATATAAAATCTATAATGTGTTTATAAACTACACCTTGTAGAACTGACTAAAATTGAAAAACGTCTTGCTCTTCTCAAATTTAATGTTCAAATTCTAAAAATATTAGTAAATATTAACAATTATATATAATAAAATAAAACGCAATAGCATAGATTCTAAATAATTGTAACATTAATTAATTGTTAATTAATTATTAAGGTCTGTCTGTTGAAAAAATATAAAATGGTGATAATAATAACTAATTTTATAAGTTTAATTCAGAATCGAATTTAGTATTATTGCTTGAATTAGATAGTTTTTATTGAACCTCTGTCAGTTTTATTGATTTTATTGTATTTGTAGTAATAGACAAAAGTGCAATAAAATTTGATAAATCGTAATGTTTAGAATCTATATACTTAAATATAAAAAAAATCTGTCATTATGCATGTATGCGATAAAACCCAAAACTATAATTTATCACTTATAGTTTATTATTTATGCTTATTTATCTATGGTTTATCATTATAGTGATTGGATTTCAATAAAATTGTGTAACCCATGTTAATATGGTCCAATTTAAAAGATAAAATGGTTTTTATCTTAGTTATTAATCTCAACTAAATATTTATTATTGCAATTTCTGTTCTAGACATGATCTATAATAATACATAAAAAACTGATAAGTAAAGTATTAATCAATAAAAAAAAGATTTAGATATTTAGATAAAATTTTTGTTTTTACTATAAACAATGCGATATTTTTTAATATTCCAAACGCAAAAAAAACTTCACTTCACACATTGTCAATCTGCTTATTGTTAACTTTAATTAATGTGCATTTTATTCAAATATCAATGATAATCAGTATAAAAAATTATTCTAAAATAGTCTTTTATTTTAAACTTTGTTGAATTATTATATTTCCAACACTGATCATAACCCTAAAATATTTTAGTATGTTAGCTAAGATTAAAACCATAAAATCTACGATTCATTTATCGACTGTATAAAATAAATTATTTCAATTAACATGTCAACGGTAATCAGTAAAAAAACGTTAACCCAAAATAGCCACTTACCACTTATTGTAGGCCTATAATATTTTACTATGTTAGTTTAGACCATGAAATATATCGTTATACTAAATTTCATCAACATTGTCCAAAAAAATTCATAATAAATTAATTATAATTAATTAATAATGAATTAATAATAATAATTATTAATATTAATTTAATCAGCACGATTCCAAATGATCTCTTTTTAGCGGTAACGTTTTTTTGCTGTGATTCTAAAGAAACGACTTAGCCGATCGTCTGTCTGGCAAAACTAATCAACGCTGGTCTACAACAGGTTGCATCCAAAGGCTTTTAAATTTTTGTAATAAATGTAGCAGCTTTGGGAAAACTCGAAATGACAACAAGGCAATACAGTTGTAGATCCATTGTAAAAATCATTCGATTAATATTGAAAATCATGCTTTTGTTAATAACCTACTTGTTTTCTATATTCACCTTATAAACGTTCAGTTTAACCTAGCAGAAGTGATGGCAGCCAACTCGTTCCTGCACCTCTAAACACAATAATTAAAAATAAATAATTAAGAAGATCATCAATATAACTTGTACTCACCATGTATAAAATACAGTAATAAAAAGAAGCGGTATTTATTGCTATTATTTCTCAAATAATTCATCAATAGGAAGAACTTAAAGACACAGCACATAGCAATAATGAATCAGATCGAGAACATGAATGAAGTTGATCAAATATGGCGGCAAAAGCTAGTCTATATCCAATTAGTTATTAAATATACAAGTAAGTAATATACATTTATCCAAGTTTAGATCGTTTACTGATTGTACCTATAGGTACAAATGAGAAAGATAAATATTCTAAGAGCTGATCTTTCGACAATCGGTTAAGAAGAAATGCAAAATCAATCAGCAAAATCATCAAAGTCAAATAAAATAATACAGTGGTAAATTATAATTTTATTATTAATTTAGAATCATAATTCTAAACATTACTCGAATAATATTAAGAATCTAACTTTTGTTAAATCTATCAACGACTCTATGTATATTTCTTACTTACATTATTTGAACGTATATCTGATGGCGGCTAAGAACACACGAAATGGCGTCGTAATCGTCTCTGGACCTCTAAACACAAAATTTGCACAATAAGTAACGAAATAAAAATAAATAATTAAAGTAAATCATTAATATAACTTGTACTCACAATATATAAAAGTAACACAAATAAAAACACGGTATATTTATTACTTTACTCTATACGACCTATCGACTCAAAGAACTTATAACGAAGATTAATACAAAAACATTAACTATAATAAGTATATGTTTATTATAAAGTTTACTTTATTTTATTAATATTCGAAGTAGATCATTACAATATATAAGTTACAGAAATAAAAAGAAACGATATTTATTGCATTTATGTCTCAAATGATGTGTCAATATAAAGAACTTAAGGACACCGCACAATAAATCTGGTTGAGAACACAAATGAAGATTAAATTTGGCGGGAAAACCTAGTTCTTGTTCTATTTAAGTATTTTATTGAAGTAAGTATTATACATTTATCCCAGTGTAGATATCAATGGTAATCAGTATACTGATTATACCTATAGGTACAAATGAGAAAGATAAATATTCTAAGAGCTGATCTTTCGACAAATTGTTAAGAAAAAATACAAAATTACTCAGCAAAATCATCAACGTCAAATAAAATAATACAGTGATAAATTAATTCCAAACATTACTCGGATAATATTAAGAATCTAGCTGTTGCTGAATCTATCAACTACTCTATATATATTTCTTACTTACATTTTCTGAACGTATGTCTGATGGCGGTTTAGAACACACGGAAAGGCGCCGTAATCGTCTCTGGACCACTAAACACAAGTTGCACAATCACTAACAAAAAAATAATAAATAATTAAAGTAAATCGTTAATATTACTTGTACTCACAAAATATAAAAGTAACACAAATAAAAACACGGTATATTTATTACTTTACTCTATACGACCTATCGACTCAAAGAACTCAGAACGAAGACCGAGGAAGATACACAACGCCAATAGCAATTCGGCAGCATAAAATCTCGACCAATCACGAATGAGCTTAATAAAAGTAACATGGATAAAAAATATCGATAATTTCAACGATTAATATATTAACATCAATTATAATAAGTATATGTTCATTATAAAGTTGTTTACTTGATTTTAATAATATTCGAAGTAGATCATCACAATATATAAGTTACAGAAATAAAAACAAAGGATGAGAACACAAATGAAGTTTATCAAATATGGCGGGAAAACTTAGTTTTTGTTCTATTCAAGTATTTTATTGAAGTAAGTATTAACACATACATATCCCAGTTTGGATATCAATGGTAATCAGTATACTGATTGTACCTATAGGAATAAATGAGAAGGACAAATATTCTGAGAGCTGATCTTTCGACAATTAGTTAAGAAAAAATACAAAATTACTCAGCAAAATCATCAACGTCAAATGAAATAATACAGTGGTAAATTAATTCCAAACATTACTCGGATAATATTAAGAATCTAGCTACTACTACTCTATATATATTTCTTACTTACATTTTCTGAACGTATGTCTGATGGCGGTTTAGAACACACGGAAAGGCGCCGTAATTGTCTCTGAACCACTAAACACAAAAATTGCACAATTACTAACGAAATAAAAATAAATAATTAAAGTAAATCATTCATATAACATGTACTCACAATATATAAAAGTAACACAAATAAAAACACGGGATATTTATTATTTCACTCTATACGACTTATCGACTCAAAGGATTAAACCTAACGAAGGCAGACACAGAACACAGAACACTACTTGCATTTCGGCAGCATTGAATCAGGACCAATCACGAATAAGCCATAGATACATAAACATAATGGAATGAGCTTATTGAAAGTAAACTAGATAAAAAACATGGATAATTTAAACGATTAATATGAAAGCATTAATTATAAGTATATGATTATTACAAAGTTGTTTTCTTCATTTTAATAATATTCCACATGCAAATAATCTTTAATATTTGTAATTGTATTTATTAACCCTCCGTCGGTCGGATATTTTTTCACCTTCGAACGGTCAGAAAGGTCTGGCTGGACCACCATTCATTTTACATGCATTTTTATGGGATAAATGAGTTTTTGGTGTCTTATATATTAACGATTATTAGTAGTTAACACTTTGCCGTCCGCACGTTTTGTAAAAATTTATTCGCTTGGCGCCGGTAGTGCTAATTCGTTATCACTTTGCTTGTCCCCGACCATTCTGAATATTATCGAAAAATTACAAATTTTTAGTTCTTACTAATGTTGAGGGGTGTAATTTTTTGTTATCTAAATTAAAACACCAACAGGATGGAAAGATTTCTGCCACTGGCCAAAGGAAGATACTGTGCTCATGACACCACTGTGGTGTCGCCGGCTGTTAAGCGCTAGTTCGCGCTCGACACCACTGTGGTGTCGCCGGACGGCATAGTGTTAATATTTATAGTTTTGATTTTTTCTTTTTCTTACCGTCTTTTGCATGTGTTGAGCTTGCTTATAATAAAAATATTACATATTATATTATATAAAAAAATCAAGAAATATAAAACAATCGTTGCTTTTTTTGTTAATTTTTCTGTTTTATATCAATGAAAAACAATATTTATTCTTTTTCGATGAATGTGAAATTCAAATGAAAACGAAATGAGGTGCGTCGCCTTTGAAATGAGCAGTAAAACTCAAAATGAAAATATAATTTCAATACAGGTTTGCCAAAAAAAATTTCGAACGCAGTACGGGTAGAAAAATAGTTGATAATGTGTGCATTACTCATCCGATTTTCAGTGTTTGCGATTACCAATAAGTTTGGTAGGTTTTCAAGAAACTCTCGTCATGAAAATACTAACATTTATGTTACAACACATAGCAAGGAATATATACAACGCAGTTTCAATAGAAAATACCATGAAAAAAGACAAAATACTGGTATAAAAAGCGTATATTTCATACAAAATGTATGGGTGGTCTAGACAGACCTTTCCGACTATTCGAAGTATACAAAAGTTAATCTTCTATATATATAAAAATAAGTCGGGTTTTCCTTCCTGACGAAATAACTCCAGAACGCACGAACCGATTTCGACAATTTTGCATTCGTTGGAAAGGTCTCGGGCTCCGCAAGGCTTGTAGCTAAGAAAATTAGTGGCATGGCATCGTGCCCTAATGCAAATTGCTGAAACTTCACGCACCGTAATTAAAAATTCGAGTAATGACATTAGTGAGAATTATCAGAATTATGCTTGGTTGATGTACACGCACTGAATTCCAATATTCAATCAAAAATTGCTGGCGATTTGGTGACATACCAATGATTCCGACTGGTCTTCCGTTTGACTTCAAAGGATTGCAATTTCCAGTTCGCTTTGCGTTCGCAATAACAAGTCGCAAAGCCAATCGCTTAGTGTTTGCGGGATAAATTTCAAATAGATTATTTAGAAAATCATTGTTTTTCACATGGGCAGTTATACGTTGCCTGTTCACGAGTTGGAAAACTATCCGCTTTGTTTGTGTTAACGTCAGACCCAAAAAAACAAAAAATGTGGTTTACCAAAGAGCACTTCAATGAAACGGATAATTTGCGGATTCACTTTCATTTACTTAGAGAAGTTCAACTAAAAAACTAATAGAATAGAACTAAATTCATTACTGTTGTATAATAAAATCAAATTTTTTTTTTTCAAATATAAAACAAACAAAAAATTTCTGCATCTTTCTCACGAAATCATCTGATGGCGAAACGGAGTTCGTCGGGTTTGCTAGTATCCTTATAATTATCCTTCTGTACATTTTTTCGTCCTGATTTTTTCATTGATCGACAGCTAATGAAATTTTAGGAAAAGTCAAGAAATTTCAAGTCGATAGGATTACTAAAAGTATTTTTTTTTAATTGAAGTCGAAAAAAGTCTGGCCAGACCACGCCGACCGACGGAGGGTTAAAGTTAATTTATGAAAATTTTATTTATAACGAACTTCATTCTAATCCTTCTTCTGCAAATGCATTTTTTTGCAAATGTGGACATCAACGATAATCAGCAGTTAATCTTTTGACGATTAAATATTAAATTAAATATAAAATAATTATTATTAACTGACTAGTTTTAATATATTTACTTTAATATATTTGATATTTTATTTAAAATATAAAAATTTAGATATTTTGAATACAGAGTTCAGTTCAGCTAACCAACTAATGCCTCCATCTTGCGGCAACATCTATACTTAAATATAAACGTCAAAACATTAGAAGTAAAGACTACATTAAGCTAGAAATATATATTACTTATTTATTACTAAAGACAAATGTAAGTTCACTTTATTATTTATATACAAAACTGTCAAAATATTATTCATGTTTCAATTATTTTGTAAATCTTAGAAGATATATAAACATATTATTTATGCGTGATAAAATTACAGGTTAATTAATTTATAATAATGCCTCACGAAGAACATGGTCATAATACATCCGGGGGCATGGAGGAGCCCCCAGGATCTCAAAGGCTTACCAATGATGATTTTAGAAGATTGCTCATGACACCAAGAGCCTCACATACTCCCCAAGTTGGATCTGCAAGGGAAACGCCTTCGGTTGCAAAGTAAGTTGGGAATTATAATTTGTGTCCTTGTAGGACCCTATTAAATGAATATTTGTTATCTGATTAAAATTATGTGAAGGTAACTTAAATACTGGTACCGTACATTACCTTTCTCGATGTACTGATCTATGCAGATAATACATTTTTAATTCTCACTCCATGTTATGCTTTTAGTTTCAAATAACCTTATATTAAACAATAGTAAACAATATTAATTTTCTTTTATACTACAAATAGGGTATTTCGTAATATTTTTCATTACACCTTAAATTTCTGTGTATATGTATACAAATAAATTTCAAAAAGCTTCTTTGTCAATAGCTTAAAATCAAAAGTAAGCAAAGAAAGTACATCACAATTATTTACTCACATTTTTAGCCGCACATTTCAATTTTGCGGCTTTTCATCTTTACCGACATCAGTTTTTCGAATACAGAAAAAAGCAACTAGAATGTTATCTTCTTTATCTTGTACTGCATCTTGTAGACCTTCTTTACATGAGTACAAAATCTTGATGATTTCTTGGATTTCAAACTGATTTGCCCAAAGCTGTATAATAAAGCAATTATAACTTGTCCAATTTGAATTCAAATCTAATGTTCGGTTTACAACACCAGACTGTTTTCAATAGTATTTGAAAATAAGACATTCTACAAGTTATTTAATGGCCTGAGGTAATGCTATGATTAATTACAGCTTGCTTATGAATGAATAAATAATACTTTTAAGAATCTGGATGTTAACAGTATTCAAACAGATTGAAGTATTTTATGATATAAACTGAAAGTAAATAATCGAAATATTAAATGTAATGTTCAACATCATGTTCTTCATAATAAAGTCTATTCAATGTCCAGTCCATCCTAATTTCTATTGCAAAGTGCATTATAGCTAGTACAAGATTATATATTGTATTTAAATATGTTTCTATCTCCTTGTATTTGTTGTAACAATATTATATTAAAAAGAATAATTTCAATGGAAAAGAGCAAACAAAGATAAAACAATGTATTAAAAATACAAAAATAAAGTAATGAAAAATAATAAATTAGTGAAGTTAACATAAATCTAAATATTGAAAAGGAATTAAACAAAAACAACAAAAATCCACAATCAAAAACTAGAAACTTTTGAAATATTTTATATTATAAGTATTGTGTATTAAAGGAATAAAAAGAGATTCTGCAAAGCAAATTCAGCTCACCATTTTTCTCTATTTGTAAAATAATAGGATTCTTAGTATTAAAATTATGATTTAAACTAATAATATAATTCGCAAAATAGTCTTGAATATTTGAATTTTTTGAAATACAGATATGTTGATTGTTTCTCTTGCAAACATACTGTGAACTTTCACCAATATATCAATAATTGCAATTGTTACAATTTACTTCGTGAACAACATCAGGAAGGTAAATGAAAGTATTGTCAAAATTTCACAACTAATAAAAAACCTTTGATTAAAAGCATCTTTTTTGAATTGTTCAAATAGGTCTATACACATAAAACTCAGTCTTAGATCATACTATGGATTTAGTGTTAGCTAACACCTGCATTACATTTGCCAGATCAAATGATTTGTTCATATCATTTTATATTATATTTTTTATATTCTACTACTTTCTTTCTACATCTAGTTCTATGGGCCCACCTACTACAAGGGAGGATCGCAGTGAAGCAAGACGTAAGAAAAAGAGTTTTTATGCAGCCTTGAAGAAACAAGAGGATTCTAAATTGGCTGAGCTGGCAGAAAAATATCGTGATAGAGCCAGAGAAAGAAGAGATGGTGCAAATCCTGATTACCAAAGTAATGAACCTTCTGGAACATCAAGTGCATACAGAGCAGTTGCTCCTGATATTAAATCTGGATTGGATGCTGCTGAGAGAAGGCGGCAGATGATTCAAGTAAATATTTGTATTTAATATAATATTAACTTTAAGGAGTCCATATTGTTTTTCTTGTACTTAATCTTAACTTACAAATAAATTTAAAATGATCATGCCTATTGATAATTTTTGTTTTACCAGGAATCAAAATTCTTGGGTGGTGACATGGAACATACCCATTTGGTCAAAGGTTTAGATTATGCGCTTCTGCAGAAAGTACGTAGTGAGATTCAACACAAAGAAGTTGAACAAGAAGCTGAAATGGAAAGATTAGCAACACAAGCATTGGAAACTGCGGTATTTATAATGAACTACAAACTTGTAAATTTAATCCATTTTCTTAAAGTTCATTACTTAATAGGAAAATGCTAAAGAAAAAAGTGCATCAAGCAAAGATCCTGAAGAAGAAATGCAATTTAAAACTAAATTAGGCCGTAATATTGTTCAAACATTAGCTAATTTCAAGTAATTCAAAATTAATGCTGTATTTGCCTCACATAAAGATATTATACAAACCAAATTTTCTAGGAATACTACAATAGAACGTAATGAACTATTCACACCAGGACGAATGGCGTATGTCATTGATTTAGAGGATGAAATGAATGATACTGATATTCCTACGACTCTAATTAGGAGCAAAGCAGATGTTCCTTTGAGTGATGGAGATATTACAACCACCCTGAGCACAAATGATATTGTTATAAATAAATTGGCACAGATCTTATCATATCTTAGACAAGGACCTAGGTCTAAGAAAAGTAAAAAGAAGGTATACTATTACAGGGGAAGAATAACTATAATAGGAAAAGAAAACTTTTTCTCATTAAATAATAATGATTATAATAATCATACAGCAATATTTTGTTTCACTATAATTTCATAGTCATCAGAATATTTCATTGTCCATGAGAAGGTCTCTCCTTCCTTGATATTTTAAGCTCTTTTATATCAAATCAGATAATAATTTTTTCTTCAATCTTCTTACCAGTACTTCTTGACTATGCTCTTGCATGTATAGATTACCTGATCTATGATCAAGATGTCTATTACTTTTTTTTTTTTTTTGAAGATTTCATTAATGGTTCTAACAATTACATCCTTATTCTTGTAATTTGACCAGCAAGACATGTTGCATTTACAACACATCTGAGCATTTCTGATGGCACTCTTGGGATTATTTTGATGTTTGACTTGCTAGCACATAGTTCTATCATATTTACCCAAATGGGGATAATCATTGTTTTATATATTATTTTGTTTTCATTACAACATATTTGAACTTCTTTCAAGTAGCTATTACAACTGTTTGAATTTGTTAGCAACCTGTTTGCCAAACTAAAACTTTCCGTCTTTATATGCATACTCCAATTCAATCTTCTGTGTTCTGTGTTCTGTGTGCTGAGAAATATTTTGTACATTTGTTGCTGTGACTGATGCATTTTTATGAATCTCTATTGCCAGGAAATGTTTCAATAGATATGTTATTAGTCTCAATATTATTAAATTATATAAAGCACATAGGTGTCCCAAGAACACGCCCTTGTGGAACTCCAATCTTGGGAGTATTCTAGTCTATAGGTGTGATTTTTATGCGTTTTTTTGCATAGCTGTAAAAAAAGGGCAAAGAATATTTCTTCTAATATTTATTTTACAAGTTATTTATTAATGTTCTAAAAATACAAAAAAAAAATAATCAAAAATTGAAAATAGTCAAAAAGTTTTAATTCTAGAAAGCGTGGATGTGGTGAGTCTCAAAAAATTGGCACCTTGTCATACCCATATATATATGAATTATAGGCAAGTTAAACAAACATTTTATCACAAAATAGCGACTGGAGAAGAAACCAGATAAGTTTTATTGCGGTCCAACAGCTATATCTCCGAAAATAATTTTAATTTCAAAAAATCCGCTTGTATACATATTCTTGAATAGTTAAACTTTGATAATATTAAAAAAATTCAATTTCTTCAAACTTCCAGACTAGAATACCCCCATAAGTCTGTTAGGTGCTAATAAATATTGCTGATCAATATTCTTCATTCTTTAAATGCCTTCTGGATGCTATTCACTATTCTATAGCATTGCTGTATTATTGAATGTTGGGCAGTAAATCCAAGTAGATGATCAAGCATTATTTTTATATACTCTTTAATGTTAACCAGTAGTAGTTTTTCCAACAATTTTGAAAGAATTGGTAATAACCTGATTGGACTATATATATTGGATATAGCAATTGATTATTTCTGATATTTTAAAGCATTCAGGTCAATATCTCCTGCATCTGGAGAACAATTGCTTTAGTCAACTATTTTTTCTATATCCTACTTTTTATATTATCTATACCTGCATTTTTTTTTTGTTATTGATAAGTTTAATATACTCCAACTTCTTTTTGGTATTGCATTTTTTATATTTTTAGTATCAACATGATTAATTTTGAGAGATTTGAGAGATTTAATTTCTTACCACATTATCAGTAACAAACCTTTCAGTTTGTTAAATAATTTGCAAATATGTTTGCCTTTTCCTTATCACTTCTGGTTGATTTAATTGGCATGGGGAATCCAGCCCACATTGAAATATTATTAATTGATAATGTTAATCAATTGGTTTCCATATAAATGTATTGTACCTATTTAGATTAAGAATATAATCTGCCACACTGTTGTTTTGGATTACTCACAATAGAATTTTACAGTCGCATCATTTGAATTATGTGGCCTTTGCATTTTTTTAATGACATCAATTTTATTAATACATTTTCTGATTTCAAAATATATTAACATATGTACAAATTTATCATCAGTAAATAAGAATTTTTATCACTTACATTTATTTGTTTTCCAGGATAAAGGTCGAATTTATGATAATCCAAATGATGTTAAACTAAAAAATCCTTTCAAAGATTCTATATATGGTGACATTGGTGATTATGTTCCGCAAAGGCAAAGGAATGATAAAAAATATGGACAATCTGATTCTAACAAATTGCACAAAGGCGGTTCATACTTTGATAAATCGAAAGATAAACATCGAGATGAAGAACCTGGTTTGTTAATTGTTAATTCTTGTTTAAAATTAGTTGTTGAATAAATCTCTAACACTTAATTCTGTGTAGTGGTTTCAAATAAACCTCAACAAGCTGCAACAACAGTGAATCCAGTATTAACCAGATTAGCTCGAGAACCTGAAGGCTATGCAGAATGTTATCCTGGTCTACAAGAAATGGACGATGCTATTGATGATTCTGATGATGAAGTAGATTATACTAAAATGGATTTGGGCAACAAGAAAGGACCTGTCGGTAAGTAGAATAATCTTTTATTGTTCCTACATATCTCCCAGATTGATCCTTTTTTAAAATAGTACTGTTAAATTCATTATTGCTTTCATTTTTTACATTAGGTCGCTGGGACTTTGACACACCAGAAGAATATTCTCAATATATGTCTACCAAAGAAGCTTTGCCTAAAGCTGCATTCCAATATGGTTTGAAAACAGCCGAAGGCAGAAGAACTAGAAAACATGCTCGGGAGAAGAATGAAAGGGCTGAACTGGATAGAGAATGGCAAAAGATTCAGGTAAATGAAATATATAATAAATAAATATTATATTGTGCTTTTTATTTCACCTGATGGATGTAACTTTGTTTTGGTTCTATTGGTAATATTAATTTTCTTTTTTTTTTTTCACAGAATATTATACAAAAACGAAGAAATCCTGGACAGAAAAGCATGGATGAACCAAACTTCAAAATGCCGAAATTTTGAAACCTCATGTTTATTTTTCTTTTTTGCCTAATGTATAAGAGTGAAACATTAGTTATGAAAAGATGTGAATTGTAAGATAAATTATATTCAGTTATGTGATTTTTTATTGAACTAACAATAGTTTTTTCAGAATTTGTCAGTTTATCATAATTAAAATAAATAAATATGAACTATTAAGTTCAAATTTAGTACAAAACTGTAAATAACGGATCAGTTACAAACTGTAATTAAGTTTAAAATACAAATATACCTGAATTTAATTGAAGAATGATCCAGAGACTGGGAAATAAAACTAAATTAAGACAAACTGCAGCATATTACATTAACTCTGGGACAGAATAATTGAGCATCTGTTCATCTTAATGACAATCTAATTCTACAAAATGATGTAAAATTTTTAGGTATTCATCTGGAAAGAAAGTTATCATGACCCAACTGAACACATGCAAGACTTACAGTGGCTTTTAGGAAAAAACTTGAAACTTTTATTAAAAAACAAAATTTCAATACTAAAACTATTCTGAAGTCTGTGTGGACATATGGTATTGAGCTATGGGGCTACACTAGTAAGTCCTATATTGTTAAGATGCAGCGAATGCAATCATCAACACAACTTTATTTATTTATTTATTCATAAGCAAGCCATAATCAATAATAATAAACATTATTTCAGGCTCTTGCCAAGCTTATTCATAATTAATATTTAAAAGAAAGTGATTCTAAAATATTTATAGTAGCTGCACAATTTTCGCTTCTGAAGAAAAAGAGCTGAAAAAGAAGTATTCGAACATTAAATACAATGTTCATCATAAAGTCTATTACACCAGCAGTCAAGTCCAAAATTCTTGCACAAGATTGAAAGTTATACTGATTTAAAACCATAAAAATTAAATTTATAAAATAACAATGAGAAACTAGCAACATTTCATAAATAAAATTATCATAAATAAACATGAAAAAAAATGGTTGTACAGTAGATCAAATGGCCGGACTACATAGATAAAGGATAAGGATTATGCAAGAAAATAGTTATTGAAATCAAAATGAGAAAATTCAGTAATGTCATAAAAAACTAATTTTTTAAAATGTTTAACTCAGGTAGAATGGAATTTTTTGTTGTCTAAGTTTCGGATATTGAGTGGAAGTTTATTCATAAGCTGAATATCTAAACCGTCGATAGTATTGAAAGAGCTGGCTAGTTTATATGTGCGCGCCTTAATAAGTTTGTGTCTGGTGTTGTATTTGGAGAAGGACGAAGAGATATTAAAAAGTTTCGAATTGTTTTTGATGAAAGATAATGTTACCAGCAGAAAAATGCATGCAACAGTTAGAATATTGTGTTTTTGAAAAATGGTTCTGCAGGAGACTTTACTGGGCAAGGAAAAGATTATTTGTATAGCTCTTTTCTGAAGCTTAAATAATTTAATTAGTTTGGATGAAAATACTTCAATTAGTTGGGATGATACATCTCCAATGACTGAAAAATACCTTACATTGACAAAGCTGTTAAAGAAGCAGTCCTCGAATGATCATGTATCAAAAATTGAGTATCATCCAAATGAGTTACTGAGACCAGTTTTCAATGTTCCTGCTATAAGACTTAAAAAAATGTTTGCCTATGGACCTGCCTCAGCTTTAATAAAAAAAATTACTCGATGGAGTTTTTTAACTTCCCGAAGAAGTTAATGTTTTTGTGAGAAAATCTGATATGCTATATATAGATATGATAAGCTGATATCTAATTTCATGGTTTCTTCAAGTTTCAAGTCATTCTGAATTGAAGGAAACCAAATTTGGAAATAGTATGTATGTGTGTATTTGAGCCGATGTTTGACCTTTCGTCGAAACGATTTCAAAAATTTAAAGGCTATTAGATAAAACTTGATTAGAACTTGCGTTGATAAGTTAAAATAATCAGAAGAGTGTGAAATTTGTTATCCACGTTTTAGGCCACAATTCTGAATCGTTTTTTAAAATTCAAAACCAAAGATATTGGCTGTGAATAGTGCTAATTGGTTTTTGGCAAAAATTAGACGGGTTGTTTCTTCATAATTGAATGTGGCAATATTAATGAACAATTGTATGTCGATTGATTTCCTAGTCTTAATGAAGATACTAAAACAGCGGTTTCCAACCTGTGGGGCGCCAGGCTGTTTTGAGGCGGGCACGTAAACTTGTTTTCAAAATAACCCAAAATTTTTTAATTATGTTAAAAAATAAACAAAAAATAATTAGTTTTATATATATTGTTACATAATATATATATATTAGTATTTGCATTGTAGTCTTTTAATATCAGTTTTGAGTATTTCTAAAATTAAATTGTTGCAAAAATTAAGGGAGGTGCAACATTTTTTTTTTATTAAAGCAGGGGGACGCGGTGCAGAAAAGGTGGGAAACCAGCCTAGACAATATAATATGAAACTATATTATATAAATTCTACGTAGTTGGCAGATTAGTGTAATCATACTGCACTTTATGAATAAGAGACCAGTTGTAGAAAGTTCTATAAGAAATAAAGTATAAACTTCTACAAGAAACACGAAACAGTTAGAAAGCTTCCAACTTTTCAAAATATGATTACAACTTTACACGGATCTGAATATACTTGAAAGAAAATAAAATGCTTAAGAGTGTCATTTTTTGCACTGGGCGATTATTAGTTAATTAGTTAATAAGAGTTAAGAATGACACCAGATGATGTAATGAAATAACACTATTAAATAACATTATAATGCATTGTTCACTAAATCTTCTAAATATTTGCAGTAATAAGTTAAGATGTTATTCCGATTATATTTAAACCGGCTGTATGTATATCTATTAATATATTATTATCTTATTATTATTGTATTATTACAGAACATAATTCGATCGTAATGCAAAATTTAGGTTCAAATAACCGATTATTAAAATTCATTAATATTAACTTCTGGTAGGGTAAGTTACAGTAATCGCAAAAAAAGCGAAAAAAAATATTTATATATCTTTACGTTTCAAAGGTTTCTGAACATTTTGGCATACCTTAGAAAGAAATGATTTGTGTGTGTGTGTGTGTGCGTGCGTGCGTGCTGATACAAATTTTCGTCAACGATTTCGGGAACACGGTTCAACCGATTTCAATTATTCAAAAAGAAAAGTTTCAAAATGCTTTTTGATAGTATTTACGATACCCATTGAAACACAGTTCTATGAAATCAATTTTTATTATGTATTAAATTACAACATAATTAATTAATTTTAAAAGTAACAAGTTATGGCATGAATTTTAGGGCCATTTCTTCTAATATCTCCTTATTGAAATAAAGCAGCTCCGTAGGCGGCTCCCTCTGCATCGCCGCCAAGTACGGTTGGTAGTACAAGAGAGCATTCATGCTCAGGCGCCATGTGCCGGCCCTCAACTCAAGGAGTAACAACAGCAATAACCTGATTTTGTGGTTATGGCTCAACTCCAGAAACATAAGTCTAAAGATTCCGAATGTCGCATCTAATTTCTTCCCGTACTTCAATTCTAAGGCTGCCCCCCGCATTATAAGGTTTTGGATGAGCAGGATGATGTCGTTAACCAATCTGGGCTCATCCCATTTCTTCAACATGTGGGGCCACATTTCTCTCATCATCGTCAACATGAAGGCATCCGTGAAATACTCATCCCTGAATCCACTCTTCTGCGGACGAGGTGTCGTCAAATTCTTCTGGTTCATTCTTATCCAAAGTTTCCGACAATAATTTTTTTCAAGTATAATAATGGTATGATATTTTTGTTTCAATAGAAAACAATATGATTGTATCTCAAACAAATGAATTTATGAGATCTGAAGTTCGTACAAACGACCATCCCGATTTACTAGCATAATAAATAAATTTCAAATTTCAAATTCAAAAGTTCAAATATGTATGTTTGGTGCAAGTTTCCTTTTTGTGTATTATTTATATTTTATGCAAATTAATAAAATTGTATTTGTCTAAAAATAAATTGATAATACTTAAAAAAACGGTGACAGGGCGGAAAATATTTATGATAAATGACACAACATGATTTAAAATAACAACTATTATTCAAAGATACGCTCAAAAATAAATAAAATTAGATCTAATCAAATTAATCTGACTATGTACCGTTAACATAGGTACGTTGTTTAATAGCTATACTGATTATATCTGACATGACTTGATTATACTAAATGAAATGATGACTACTCCTTTCAGTTTAAATTCACACAGAATAAATTTTTAAACACGAAATAAAAGCTACAGATTACAGTTGACGTCCACACTCAAAATTTATTTATTTTATTTTATAATATACTAATCAGTCCATATTAAAATCTCATGTAAACAGATAAATTGTGTAAAAAAGCGATAATTAAGAAAACAGATGGGTCTTACAGAAATTTATTAGTTAAATTATAAATAGCAAACCATTGTGAACAGAACTATTTAATAAATAACTTTATTATTTTATAAAGCTTAGAAGAAAATTGAATTTTTGTAAAATTAAACTAATTGGTATATAGAATTATTGAAGTCATCAAAGAAGTTCGCCAGAAAAAAACAAATTCCTAATTTTATGTTCGATTAATATTTAGAATATAACACCAAATTGAAATAAATTTTTATCTATAATACGAAATATATGCTGCCCAGTTAATATAAACAAATCTTCGTTTAAAATATCGACATGTTGGAAAATCGATGTGGCCGTTTGTGCAAACTTCAGATTATACAAATTCATTTGTTATGTCAAAAGTGCATTTGTGTTACGCCAAAAACAAGTACATATAAAATAAATTATAACTTTTACGGTAACACCATCAGTTAATATAATATAATATGGAAAAAATGCCAAGAAAACAAGGACATTATAAGCAAGTTGGAGCAGAGTTTCTTCTATATCGCCTTGAACAATTGTCAAACAATTTATCAGCGAATGGCAAACCAAGCTCTGTAAATGAATGGCTGAGGGTAACATTTAATTTAAAAATGTATGCCGATTATCTGGAAAGAAAATTTAAGTCAAAATTAAATGATATATTTGAAAATATTAGACAACAATTCTTA